TATAAGTTTATAGTTTTGAATACTAACAAAAAATAAAATAAATTTTTTTGATGTTTTTGAATTTAATATTAGTAATATATCTTATGTATAAATTCATAATCCCATATATTAAAAAGAAACTGAATATTTTTTATTTTAATATACAAACCAAGTTCTCATGACTTTACTAAACTAATTATTAAATTTAAAATGTATACAAATATATATTTTTGAATTTTATATAAAAATACTAAAACACCACGTATTTTATTTTCTTTAAGCAAGACATGATTTTTTTTTTGAAAGACTTGGTTATATACACACCAATAAAACATTTTGTTTTCAGATAAAGAATTTTAATTTTTTGTATTATATTGTTTTTGAAAATTTTAAAGAAAATCAAGTATTTTTAATATCGGGTTAGTATCTTATAGTATAAATTTATAAGCTTAATATTAAGTGAAAAGTTTAAATAATATGCGAGTAACTCATAAATAATTCCTAGAAAGTTTTAGGATTTTTGAAAATTACTTGAAGTTTGATCGGCAAAACAAGAAAAATCTAGAAAAGAGAATTGTTAAAAGCCCGTTATGGTATATTATTGAAACACACCCTGAAGACCGAAAAATATGTTCTTTGCCCTTGTAAAGTTTGCACAACCAAACAATGTCTTAAGACCGTAATGGGCTTGGCCCTTTCAAATGGCATACCCAAAACCCAAAAACAAAAGCCCATCAAGTTTACAAACACGGTATTCGGCCTCAAAATAAAATGTAATCCATATTGACATAGTAGCCCAGATCACTGTCCAAACGATTAAAACCAAACTATAAGCCCATGACTATAAACATTAAAAACGCGACGTGTCGTTCTTCGCGGACGCCACGTAACCCACCTTCTTTCTTCCTTTTTCTCCATTTCTTTTTGGACCTGGGTCCATGGTCGGGGGCCACGTCGTTTCCAAGCACTTTCATACGTGTCTCGCGCCTGCTCAGCCCGTATTTCTTTTCTTTCTTTCTTTTTTTTCTAATACTTTTAGCTTTTTATTTTTTTATTTTTTTTCACAAAATCTATTTTTCATAATATTATAGATAATTAATCATCACTTTCTGATTTTTCATATAACCTTAATAATAAAATGATGATTTTCCACAGTTTTACCTTTTTTTTTAAAATTATTCAAAAAAATAAAAATTCTCCTAAAAAAAATTATTCAAAAAAATAAAAATTCTCCATAAATCCCAACTAAAACAATAATGATTACTTATAAAAAATTTCTTACCATAATAAGTGTTGGGTAATTAACAATTATTTTAAAACCTATGGTGCTCGAGCAATATATATTACAAATTACTCTATAAATTAAAAACTTTCAGCAATTAATTTGACTCATTTTTTTTAATTTAAATTAAATTAAATATAAATCTATGAAAGGAGTTTCTATTAACATGTATAAAATGCTGTGATAGGAATTTCTACTACGAGATGGAGTTATATGATTGCTAAATGGTATTTTTATGTGGACAAATAAGGAAAAAGTGTGTATTGATTGTGAATTTTTTCTCGAGATATGTTTAAATGGAATATAGATACATCTATAAATGACAAGTATAAACTCTTAGAGATTTTTATGTGGATAAATAAAGAAAAAAAACTTTGTATTTATTTTTGTTCCACATGTAGTGAGAAATCCAATGAAGCTGGGTTTTTGAATATTTATAAAACTCTCATTTTAATTATTAATTGTTGCAATCCAAGGATTGGATTGTGTGGAGTTCAATTCATACAATGCAATTAATTAGATAAGAAAAGGCAATATCATAAGATCATGGCGCTTACAAGGAGATTTCAATGACATCTCATGTGAATTTTATATATATTCATAGAGAAATTCATAAAGAAGCTAATTTGATTGCATTGATATATTCTTTTTTTATAAATTTATATTTTACTTAATTTGTGTACTTTTAGAAAATTAACAGGGAAGTCAGTTATGCTTGCATGATTAATGTTTTGTTTTATAAATTTTCTAATCCTATTTAGCCATGTTTTTATTGGCTAAATCAACTGATTAATAAAACTCTTGTATTTCAAAAAAAGAAAAATTGTGGATTTAGAATTTTAATATTATAACTTTGCTAATTAAATTTACTTTGGTCAAGTGTAGGTATGGTTGCTCAGTCTTATAACTTTGCTATTTAAATTGATTTTGGTCAAGTGTAGGTATAGTTGCTCAGGTTTCTATCTGAAATTTCATTATTTTTAATTGATCAACTCATGAGATTAATAATGGAGTAAAGCACAAATCATAAATGGAAACAATAAATGTGTTAATTTAAGAAATACCAACAATTGATTATTTTTTTTGGTAATTTTTCAAAGAATTATATTAAAAAACATGCATTTTTTTTATTTTTATGAGTTGAACATTATAAATATCAAAGAATTATCTCAATTTTAATATTTTAAATTGCTAGATGAGGTCCAAGTATATAATTTATATTATTCTCTAATATACCCTTTCAAGTGAAAATTCATGAGTTTGAAACTTATACAAGTTTAAATTATCTTATACTTAATTTTAATTAAATAAATAGAAATAATAAGATTTAAATTTATAATTATTTAATAATTAAAGTTTTAATATAATATTAAAAAAGTATTTTAACCTAATAATTTAAGTAGTTACGTGGAATTTTAAGATATAAATTTATATTATTATACAATATTTAAATTATTTTATATTTAATTTTTATTAAATAAATAGAAATGATAAGATTTAAATTTATAACTATTTAATAATTAAAATTTTAATATTATATTAAAAAATTATCTTATAATAATTTAAGTAGTTACGTGAGATTTCAAGATATAAATTTATATTATTATACAATAATAAGTAACTCATGAACCAATAAAAATCATGTCTCTGCCTTGCAATTAATGCGTTCTACGTAATTTAGATTACGAATTTCTTTCTTGAGCACTGATCTTGAGATGTTAGTCTGTCCTTTAGAAACTCAAAAGGAAAAGAAAATGAGCGAGACTCTTTCATTGATGCTAGAGATCATACCTCTAAATCTATCCATGGCTTTTCCGCACGTTGAAAGCTCCTGGAGGTATGATTTCTTTCATGTTTCTTATCATATGCTAGTGTTGCTTGATACTTTAATCTATAGATTTGCTGGATTAAAATCTCCCAAAATCTTCCGCACCAATTACTAATACACATTATTAGCACCTACTGGGAGAAAATAAATATCAAGGAGGTGGAAAGCTCATGCCTTAAGCGATCTTCTTTCTTGCTGAACAAAATATTGCTTTCACGTTAGTTAATTTTAAATACCAAGTCTCGGCATAAAATGTTAGAATGAACCAAAAATATCAAAAATAATATTAATTTAAAATAAAATAAATAATTTTTTTTAAAAAATACCTTTTTAAAAAAACAAACTTAATTCCTCATGCCATCATATCACTGGTTATTATGTTCATATCACTAGTCATTATGTTGCCACGACTCAAGCCTAGTTTTTTTTTTTTTGTCACATCACTATTTTCAATTTAAGTACACCATTAGTCGTGGTGCGCGTAAGCTGGTCCGGACACCCACGTTAATCTAAAAAAAAAAAATGTATATAAACAAAGGGTTTTATGCAAACATGTCCTCCCATTTGAGCGAATAATGTATATGGTGTTCTTTGTATGTGTCATTCATGGCTAGCATCCTTTTCAATACCGGACACTCGTTGCAATAGTACTCTATTGACATTCATGAACATGGAGTCCTCGATAGTTGTCTTTCTTTTTATCTTTTTTTTTTTTTAATTATAAGTGTAAAGGTCAACTTATATATATTTAGAGTAGTTTTTAAGATTTTAAAATTAATAATCAGATAAATTTATAATAATTCTGAGATTTATGATATTAAAATTAATAATTTTAAAAAATAAATCTAAAATCTGACTGACCTCCTTCATTCTTATCTTGTATCGACATAATGCAAGCTTGAACTTGCAAAATAAAAGTAGGTTCCGCCGCCCCCGGATTGTGTAGGCATCTGCCGCGAGTTTCATTCCAATGCAACTAGATTCACATCCACGGAGTTAATCTTATCCTGATTATTTTATTAAAAAATGTGAGAAAGCCAATTCAAATATAGAAGGACAACTGGGCGTCGATGCACCTTCTTGGTAGTGATTCATTATAATTTGAAGGCGGTTTTAAAGATGGGGAAATTAGGCTTGTATATGTGTGCTTGTGCTAATCCAATTCTCTGCGGGAAAACCTTGATCTGAGTAGCTAAGGACAACAAGGAAAGCGAGCCCTTCAGCTGTGATTTGAAAATGCAGTAAATTAATATTATCTGTACAGAAGGAACTTGGGAGGTTAAATTTATGTTTTCCAACTTGAAGGTTTTAGCACGCTACGAGGTTGTTTAAGGGAGAAGATGAGGTATAGTGGATACTGCAAAAAAATAATATTCTATATTAAAAAATCAATAGGTTTTCTTATATCTCAAGAAACACTAAATTAATAAATTTAAATTTCAAATTAATCATTTGAAAAGAAAGTTAAAATGGGTGCAGGCGATATATAATATTTTTATTTTTAAAAAAATAATAAATTTAATAATTATACATAATATCTCTTACAAAAGTATTTAAATATAAACTCTACAAACACATTGGTATTGGTATGAAGAGATGTTTCTTTAAACTTTATAAATATATTGTTATGAAAAAGTTTTATTTTATTTATAATAATACTTTATTGATATTAAAAAAATTTAAGTAGAAATAATATTTTTTTTTCTAATTTTTTTCTGAAAACTTTTTATTTGTATTTATCAGAAATAAAATTAATTTTTTTAATAAATTTATAAAAATTATTGTTTGTAAATTTAAAGTTTTGCTGTATGTCAAAATATATTACTTTAACTCTAAAAAAAATAGTAGGTACAATTAATATCTTAAAATAATGACATTCACGTCTGACAGAGCTCATTTGCTGACATTACACATTACACATTCAACATAAAGTTTTTGTTTGAGCTTCATCACTAATGTTTTTGTGAGGTACTGTATCAGTGTATCTAGCCTTAAATTCTCCATATGTTTCTTTTTTCTCTGTGTCTCTAACCTTAAATTCTCTCTTTAACTCTTCGTTTCTACAAAAACACCTCCCTCTGGAACACTAGATGCTACAAAAACGGAGGCCCATGAAATTGAGTGATGAGCTGGAAGTCACGGTGGGCTGGAGCTATTTGACTGGAGAAAGAGAATTCATCTAGTGCAAAGTTTGATGGTTAGCTATTATACCACTAGATTTATCATAGTTATGGTTATGTTGACTGTGTCTATTCTAGTTCTACCACCGGTGCTGCCACCATTACCACCGCCACCATTGGTTCTTCTCTTTGTACCAGTCATGATCATGTCCCTTCTTGTTTTGCTGGCCTTAAGTCCAATATCACAAATGCCCAACGTCTCCACCAACAGTGCAATTTGATTATGGAAGGAATCCTCGAGACTTGTGGGTTTCTCTTTCATCTTCAATTTCGCTGCAGCCTTCTTGAATATTTGTGCTAAAAGATTAAACTTTGGTATATATATCACCTACCTTCTTGTTTTCCTGGCCTCAACTCCATCACAATCTTTTTCTTGGTTTTGCTGCTTCTTTTTTATGAATAAAACATTTTGATGATTTGGTTTTGTTTGCTTCCTTTACTAATAATAGAGGAGATTCAGATTCTCTACTAATCATGTAAAAATCTTGAAGGGAAAGAGAGATTCATACATGCTCAAGCATACTTTCCAGAATTAGGTGATTCATGGAGTGTATAAAAGAAACATCTTCCACTTTAATTATGAATATATACAAGATGGTGTTGAAGATTCTCCATAGTTGTATTATTTTCTTGCTATTTGATTACTATCCTAACCAGGCATGGCCCAAGTCCTTTTGTTTTTGTATTGCAGCTTAGAACAATTAATATCGCTTTTAATTTCTGATAATGTAGAACAATGGCCTTAAGTTCTCGTTCTATGGCCACAAGAAGTTATCGCCAAAAGGCAAGAGAATCAATTCATAAGATTATTTTTTTCAAATTGAATTTTACTTTTAAATCCTAATTAAGAGTATATTCTTGCAACTCAGAGAGTTAAATGTATGAATTTGGAGGTTTATGAAATTTATTTTCCTGCTCCGGCTGAACCTAGAAGAAATAACACACACACACATGTTGGCATGTTCAGATTGTGATGGTTAATTATTTCTCTTACAGAACGCTATCTCCATGTAATGAAGAATCCATGATTTGATTAATATCTGATGGCAAATCGAGATTGGTAAAAGAGATTGTCATTATGATAAGAAATTCCAGCTCTCAATTAACGCATCGCGTCAAAGTATAAGGTTGACTCCCAAACGGATAGCGACGAGTTTGTGAAACGTCGCCGAACCTCTGACGCCTTAAATGTCGCTCTAAATTCCCATAGAAAGCAAATTTCAGCTTTTCACAAAAGAGGAGCTGAGCACAAACCCGCAAGGATTCTGTGAACTACGGGCGATATTCAAGGAGTAAGGTAATCTGTGGTACATCTTGTAGGACAGGGGATATAAATTATTGATTGATTTTGGCTTGAGGATTCATGTAATCCTTGCCGAAATCTAGCATGCTTGCGTGCAATTTGTTCTTCTTTTTCTTTGAGATATTGCTTGTTAAATTTTACAATATCATTTGGTTGTTAATTCAAGCATTATCCTCATTAATATTATATCCTTTGGTACGTATCACTGCTGATTTAAATATTTTCAAATTGAGCTGGAATTGAACAATCTCACGTGTGAGGGTAATATTCTAAGTATAAAGGCTCGAAAAAAAATTTGTAGATTACTTTGTGTGTGTGTGAAGACGAAGACTCGAGTTCAACAATCTTTTATAAAATCAGTATTGTGTGTGGAGCACATAGGTCTTAAAAGCTACACCACGAGTCAAGTCGTCGTCGTTAATTACTAATTAAATTAAAGAATCAAAGCAAGTTGGAGAAAGTAATTAACGAACTAATAAAATAAGTCACTGGTTGGATTATTTTAAATATTCTTTCCTGGGAAAGTATCTAGTTGGAATTCAAGTGTTATTTCCGATAATCAAGTTGGATTATTATATGATCCCGACAAGATTTTCTACTCATATTCTTCGTCGAAACCACCTATGTAACAGAGGCGCCTAGAGAAACAAAGAGGGATACATTGAATCTTAGACAAAGAGATGAAAAGATGACAGCAACCACTTGCTTCACCATTGATAGTTAACAATGTATTATAAAACTAATTGAATATCATAAGCAAATTCACAGAAATAGAAACTAGTTCAGATATGGGACCATATATTTATAGCATAGGACTCCATGCTGATGAACAACTCATGAATCGAGGACCTCACGAGCACGAGTGCTTTTGTTTATAATATATATGTATATGTATAGTATGAGCAGACAACATTCTTGTACGTTTTGTATACTTTAATAATTTTGATGGGTTTTCAATAACTACTGCAAATTAAATTATCACCAAATAAACATCTCTGGGTTTTGCAAAGGTATGTACAACTCGTTTTTTAATTTCAACTTTATATCCAAATAGTTTTATTTATTATCTTCTTAATATCACTTCTCAAGATAATATTTCTTTGATCAATAACTAAAAATAATATGCATAAAAAGGGGGGTTTTCTTCATTTGTAATAACAAGGGTAGGGAACAAATAACGCGCCATTAAACAGAAACCAAGTTAAACTTGTTCCTGTTTGGATCCTTTGATTATTAAAAAAAAAACAAAAGAAATTTGGGAAATGTATTGTCGTAACATAGCTGACTATAGCTGGCTTAGTGTAATAATGTGGTTAGTACTAATTGTTCTGTGAATGCATGGTATAAGAGCTAATGAATGGAAGTGAGGTGATGTTGCAATATTTAAAAAAGAAAAAGAAAAAGAAAAAGAAAAAAACACTATTATAAAACAAACTATGGGCACACAGACAAGCCATCAATCTGTTGATGCCGAGTTTCTAAGTAAAGCCTTTAAGAAAACCCTAGCCAAGGAATCAATTTCTCATTATTTCCTTACAATATAAAATAATATGATCCTTTAATTATGAATAGATATTGCTCATCGAAGTGTATGCATCTCAATTATATATGTAAACCTTATCTCATTCTCATTCTAAATTAATATTATAGTAGCAACTAGTTTAGAGGCAGCATTAAAATTGCAGCTTGAATGAAAAAGGTTTCAATGTAAAAAGAAATATCCGAGTCACTAAAATCATTGGATATTGGTTTTGGATATTAGTTTTAAACATTTAATAGATAAATCTTAAAAAAATTTATTCTAATTTTTTATTTAACTTGTATTTAAAATTAAATTATATAAAAATTATTTAAACACGATTCAGTTAACTTAAATAATTCAAATGCAAATTGAATGACTAAAAAAAAAATATAATTTAACTTAAAATAAAATTAAAATAATTTTTATTTTTAATACAATGATATAATGAATTGATTTACTCTGAAGAATTTTTTTATTTAATTCTATAGTAATAAAAATAAATTATTATAAAATTAAATATAAATTAAATTTTGATGGTAATGGTTCGCGAGTAAAAACAACGATGATGAGAAATAGTTAAAGAAAAAGATGTTCGAGTTGCATAGAAAATGGTTTGTATTATAATTTAACTTAAAATAAAATTAAAATAATTTTTATTTTTAATACAATGATATAATGAATTGATTTACTCTGAAGAATTTTTTTATTTAATTCTATAATAATAAAATTAAATTATTATAAAATTAAATATAAATTAAATTTTAAATTTTGATGTTAATGGTTCGCGAGTAAAAATAACGATGATGAGAAATAGTTAAATAAAAAGATATTCGAGTTGCATAGAAAATGGTTTGTATTTATAATGTCAACCACTGACTTAAAAAATAAGATGCCTGCATATAAAATTACATTTACCAACAATTTATAAAAATATATGATTTAATTATATATATAAAAAAATATTGTATGTGGACAGTGCATGCGCGGCATCCTGACTCTTCAAAATTCGAAAAAATATACTGTAACCTGCTGAAGGAGAAAGAAAGGAAAAAAATATACTTGTCCGGGAATATTTTGTGTGTTGGTGTGACTGTTTGGATCAGAGCTCAAGCAGCACCGGTGTTGCGGTTTCGGGCACATACCCGAACAACAATTAAATAATTGTTGCCCAAACAGTAACTTTATTTATGTATTTGTTTATTTTGGATTTAAAACTCATTTTATGTCCACCAGCAGGTATTTATTTGGTAATTGCGTTAAAAAAAAGGATTGGAGTTATTCAAAACATCTTAGGTTGGTATTATTTTTCATTAGTTTTTGTGCTTGTAATAAAACAAAGCAATAAGGTGTTTAATAATAAATTAAATTGTGTTAGAAATTAAAAAAAGAGTGGATTTTACAGGTTTTAAAATTAATAATTATATAAATTTTTAGTAATACTTAAAAAAATTAAATCTTAGGTTGGTATTATTTTTCATTAGTTTTTGTGCTTGTAATAAAACAAAGTAATAAGGTGTTTAATAATAAATTAAATTGTGTTAAAAATTAAAAAAAAAGAAGTGGATTTTGCAGGTTTTAAAATTAATAATTATATAAATTTTTAGTAATACTTAAAAAAATTAAATCTTAGGTTGGTATTATTTTTCATTAGTTTTTGTGCTTGTAATAAAACAAAGTAATAAGGTGTTTAATAATAAATTAAATTGTGTTAAAAATTAAAAAAAAAAAGAAGTGGATTTTGCAGGTTTTAAAATTAATAATTATATAAATTTTTAGTAATATTAAAAAAATTCAAACTTATAATTATTAAAAATTATAGAAAAAGAACGAGAACTTTTGCATAACATTACTATTCTAGGAGAGAGAAAAAGTCCATAGCTAAAAAGAAAGGAACTTTTACATAACATTGCTATTCTAAGAGAGAGAAGTCCATAGCTAAAAAAATAAATATAACTTAGATACCTATAAAACCCTAAATGACAATTTGAAAACGGAAACTTCAAAATTAATTTCAACTAAACGCAGGCATCAAAGTCTCTCTAGCCAGAGGCGGAACCAAGGGGTGGCAAGCAGGGGCCTGGGCCCCTGCAAAACACCCCAGTAAAATATTTTAAATATTTTTTATTTAGTATTTAAATATAATAAATAATAAATTATCTAATAATAAATTATTATTTCATTAATTAATTATCTTTGAATATAAAATTATCTTTTCATCCAAGTTGTAAAAACAAAAATATAACCTAAACAAAAATATAACCTGTTAAATTTAATTACTTTTTATATTTATTAATAATTTTATGAGTTTATATATATATATATATATATAAAGCAATACAGAAAGATTAAAATAAAACTATCAATTAATTTATTGTTTATCAAAATAAGCTAATTAATGATCCAAATTTAATTTTTTTTATGTTTGTTAGAATTTCATGAGCGATATATATATATATATATAATTCTGGTATTTTTTTCTAGATCTACAAGTTTTACCAGTTTTTTATTTTGTATTATAACAAATGTAGTTTTTTCTAATAAATTAAATATATTTTATAGGTTTAATTCAATTAAGTTTGCATTTTTTTGTATTTTATTTTTAGTAGAATCGTTAAAATTATCAATTTTGTCTCACATGTCTAACAAATTTGACATGATTTTTCTAGTCAAATTAAATTCTTTAAAGAATACATACCCGATTTTTATTTAATTAAAAATTTTTTTGAAACTAAGAATCCTATTTTTTATGTTAAATTTGTTTTTATATATTAATTTTTTTAATATGTTAATTTTACTTTTATATATTAACAAACTTTATATATAAAAATTTATACCTATTATATTACTTTTGGCCCTCCCTGTTATTTAATCCCAGCTCCGCCCCTGTCTCTAGCTAGAGTCTTGTCTACATACGTGGAAGAGATCGAAATTAAGGTTCGATCCATGTAGAAAATGTTACAAGATAAAGATCAGGATTTTGCTGGGGTGTTCTTGATTTCTTTCAAAACCATTAATTATTCCTTGTGTATGAAACGAATTGTTCAGTACTGTTATGTTGTAATTAAGGGAATCATATGTACTTGGGAAAAATTCCAAGACACCGAAAGCACATTCGGACAGTGGCTCAAAGACTCATGATCGGATGTTTGTGTGATTCGGCCATGGCTTAGAGGTCTAAATTGGATGTGTTTTATATGTTCATGGAATTAGATTTTCTTTTTTCTTCTCGCAGTATTTTTGAGATAGTCATTAAAAAAAATCTCAGACAGTTTTAAAAGATGCAAAGAAATAAAATAAATTTTAATTTCTTTTTTTAAAAAAAAAACACTAGAATAGCTAACATTGTTTTCACCGATTTAATTTAGCCCACATGAATCCAATTCATTTTAAGTGGCGGGATATATGCATCTGGTGATGAATCTCATGTCAAGGAACGTCAGTCATTCATGATTCAGAACTTCCTACACTCAATGGTATATTCCTGAGATTGTCCACCATGTCTTGAAATCAATAAGACTTGGTTGCTGAATTTGAAGTAAAATTCTGATATTTACGTAAAAGCTTAGTTCTTTTAAGTTACTGAAATAAGAGCACTTAGCTTTCGAGAAAAGAACGGTAAAGTCACAGAAACTTGAAGGTATATATGGTAACAGGCACCATTA